TGGTTTTTTATTAGTCATTCTATAGAATGCCTAAGTTATGTGGATATATTAATTATTTCATATCATATCGGTCGATTGTAGACATTCTGTAGATTGTCAACATTTCCTACATAACTAAGGATGCCAAGCATTTAATAAATTGCTTATGCATTGTATAGAATGCCAGTGTTTCGTACATTACGAGTTAAATAAATATTTAAAGTTGTCAATATTTAAACACATTAATACAATGCCTCACACGCCATTTGTCGTTTGAAAATGAATGTCGAAATCTTGAGTTAAACGCATTCATGAGATATATTTCGCAGTAAGAAACTAAAACATTCCAATTTATTTATATCTTAGTATTGCAGATCACGTGGAGCAACCTGTAGCAATCCTTTCCTTATTACCAGCTTGATAAAATAGATCTTGTCTCTAATGAATCACACCTAATCTTGCAGCACTTCCTGTGAGAAAGTGTATGTAACAAAGTGTTTCGTTTTTAAAATGACACTCCAAGAAGTAGAAGGCGTAGAAAACTAATCCAAAAGAGAAGCTGGAACATAAATTTGAGCCCCTGATGTCTCACTTAAAACACAGCAGGAGACGGGATTTAATAAATCTTGGCACAATAGAAGAAAAGGGTTGTGCCACTCTCAACCAGCATCATAATCGAAGGAGGGTCAAATATTTAACCATAACCAGTTCTCGTTTGCTAATGGTTGCTTCTTGCTTTTTTTAATTGCTCACAAAGAATTGTTTCTTCCCTGCTGGGGAAATTAAGGATCAACTTTTGAATTCGTTTGAAAAACTTTCTTTTTATAACATGAACGAGTGTTTTCCATGGCTTTTTATCTCTTCTATGAGTATTTGTGTTTCATAAACTACTTTATTTATTGATGTAAAATTATGTATTTATTAATGTAATGTATTTATTAATGTAAAATTTAAAAACTTAAAAAAATATTTTTCTGCAAATGGGCTGCTTCTGGTTTTTATTTATTTGCTGACAAGGAATTTGCTCTGGAAGTTAAGATTCAATTTCAAATTCGTTCGAAAAGCTCACTTTTTGTAAGGTGAACAAGTCTTGTGTGAATTAATTTCTGTTATTAGTATTTACTTTTTGCTATGATTAATTCTATTTCATTGATTATGTCATTATTTATATCGAGTGCTTTTAAACATTAACATAATTATCTTTTTGTTAATTGATGTTTTTTTCGTATTTGCTGACACAACAAATTGTTTTCTCCTTTGTCCACGAAATTAATGCTTAACTTTTCTACGATTAAAGAACCTCCTTTATGTTACGTGAACGAATATTACTTGAATTAATCTAATGTTTAAGTAAATTTTTATCCCACTTAAGTACGGGATGCTTTGGTTTAAAATTACTGGAAATATGGTTTAATTTTACGCCTTATGAAAACTGCAGAAAATTGGTTTGAAGATTGAGAAAATTAGTAAAATTGGTTTCCCCATTATATAAATTTTCTGAGAGCGTATTGAATGGAGTTACGATATTGATGAAGATTTTATTATTTATTAATATAGAAAATCTCGAAATTTAAGTAATGAAGTTAGTTTTTGCTTAGTGGTTGCTTTTTTTTAAAATTGTTTAAAATAGATTGTTTTTTCTTCACCTTCAAATTGCTATAGCTTTACTTCCAGTTTGTTTGAATTTTTTTTGTAAGGCATATTTATCTATTCAATTGGTAAATGCTTTATACAGTGCATATTGTATTGAAGGTTTAGTCATTTTTTATTAGTGCATTATGAACATAATTCTGGCGCTGTAGATTATTACAGTACCAGCAGATTCTTTTTCATCTAAGTTTTTTTTTAAGCAAGCAAAAACATGAGGGAGATTGCTGAATTGCTGAGACTTGTTTTAAAAATATACCTAAATTGAGAGAAAACGGCTTCTTGAAAGAACAAAATTAACGATTTTTTTTCGGTTACTTGATTGCATGCTTAAGGGATTTAATCGATTTTTCTTAACATAATCATACAAATATGTTTGAGGACCTTATATTGGCTATTTTCGCTACATTTATGTTAGAATAGGCTGAATCTGAGCAATAATTATCTTTGTCTGACTGCGTTGATGTCGCAGATAAATTTGAATATATGCAGATAATCCTGCAGGTTCACTCCTTAAATTCTGCTATGGGATAATAAGGATATTATTTTGTCATTGTTCATATCTTGTTTTTTGTTTCCACTGCATCTAACGGGAGTTCTTGGTTATTCGAAATATTCTGGGAGAATTGTTTTTGTAAATTTAAAGTTTTAATTTTTCAGCATAAACCGGTCTTGTTTAAAATTTTCCTTTAAAAATACTTTTTTATATTTTGAATGCAGTTAAATTAAATCGTGTTTTTTAATTGTGTTGTAATTGAAAATGTAATCATTATTTGTAAATGAAAATGTAACCAATTTTTGTGAGGAAAATCTCCAAATTAAAAACAAAGCATACAAGAACTTTTTTGTTAATGAATTCATGTCTTGATAATGATAAATGGTTTTTTTTCTCCTATAGGCGAAATCAGGAATAAAATTCGAGTTTATTTAAAAAGGATTTCTTTTTGTAATGTGCCCTCTAGCCTTAATTTAACTTTGATAAAAACTGATTATTGTTTGTATTATTAAGCTATTATATATTAATAGCTACGAAATAAAAACTAAGTAATTTTGATCTAATGAAAAAAATCTTTGTAATTGGGGAAAATTTTATTTCATGTACAAGAATATTAGCATTAATTTAAGGCTGTTTTGATGGGCTTTTCTTGATCTATAATATAAAAAATTGCAGTTATATTTTTTTAATATTCCTTTTATGCAGTAATTAAAGTACGAAATGAGATTATTAGATATTTATGTAGATTAGCAATTACTCATTACTGATGAAACTTTCAAAACTTAAAAAAAAGCATAAGATTTATATAAAAAAACCAATACATCTGTACTTTTTTGAAAAAAATAGTTTCCATGCTTAACTACAGCGCAAAGTTCAAGAGTAGAGCCAATCCAAAACAGCTTACTTACAAATAGTTTTAAACAAAAAATGTCGGAGAATTGAGAGTTACAAATTAATAGAGATCTCATTCATCGGTTTTATGTCGCTGAATTAGAACTGAAAATGTAAGTTAATTATGAAAGAGGTGTATATCTTACCTGGTAACAGAAACTCTCTAGCAGGGCAGCGGTTGCTGTAGAGAAACACAGCATCTGCAAATTACTGATACTCCTTTTTTAAAACGTCTTTAATTTTGTTTCCAATAAAAATTAAAAATCTGAATTAAGAGAATATTGCAAATTACGAAAAGTAAAAATTTTGTTGCTTGATTGCAGGCTCAGCTGCATAGGTATTTATTGCCTTTGTTAGTATTAATGCATAAAACTTAACTTATATTTACACAATATAAAGTCTTTATGTATACTTTTTTAAGACCATATATTTGCGAATTTCACTACATGTATGCTAGATTAACCTGAATTTATACAATAATAATCTTTGTTTGACTACTTTAACTTTGCAGACAAATTTGGATTTTAGATACTACTACTACTACTACGACTACTATACATATATTAATGCTTATTTAATGACACTGATATTTTAAAATGCAATTCCAGCTATATTATTCCTTTAATCCTTTACCACCGAAATAACAGATGATATAAAGCGAAACAGATACTCCTTTATTCATAGGAAAGAAATTTTTTTTTCCTTAAGCCAGTAAGCTTTTATCACTCCTGTTAAAAATGTAAAGAAATTTAAATGCTTTCAAGCACATTTAAGTAACAGCATTCATTTACTAAAAAGTGATTAGCGTACTTAATGTACCATACCTATAAATTTTGAATTGTTTAAAAAATAATTTTGCTATATTTTATTTGTGGGCGTCATAAACTTATATTCTACGAACTGTCAACTTGTGAAAATCTTTAACGCCTTATTCTGAAACATTTTCTTTAATTATTTTTTAAAGCCAAAAATTAAAAATATCTTTGCCTCTTATATTGAACGGTTGAACTCCATGCATGTAAATTATGTCTTGGAATTCATTAAGTCAAACGTGAAATTATTTTTAATACTTCTTGTTCATAGAGCCTAATGTATTACCACGACTCACCCATCTTTTTTTAAGAGGAACGACGCCTAGGTTCCAACTTGAGTGGTTCTCAGCCACGGTGACAGTTAAAAGAGGAACGATGTCGAATGTCGTTAACTACAAACTCCTTAATCGTTCCAGAATGTTTTTGATATTCTTATTATTTGTTTTTTCCCATATCTTTTATTTATTTTAAACTGAAAATGGGAGGGAGGTATATTATGTTTAACCTGCTTTTTTTCCACTGAGTTGGTGGCTTAAGCTCTTTTTTATTCATTAGTTGTCATTATTATAATTTTTTTTAATTTTGTTTTTAACGTTTTCCACCTTCTGAGTTAAAACTGTATTGATTGCTTTTAGTCACGGTCTTCTATTTGAAATTTATATTTTTAAATCAATATGGAGCTGCTCCAAATTCAGAATTAAAATTTTATAGATCAGAAAGAAAAGTATCAAAATTTTGAGAATTATTCAGAAATATAGTGCATTATAAGCATATGAAAATATAAAGTACAAAACTTATTAGGTGCAAAGTAAAAATTGACTATACTTAAATAATCCTTAAAAAGAAAGTAAATTATTTAATAATCGCAGTTTCCAATGCAGACTTTGATGCTTTTGCAGCTAATTTTTCTTAGTGTTTAGTTATATTTATTCACTATTTTGCATATATTGCATCACATGCTTGTAAATAATCTTAAGTAATAATTGTTAAGTGAAGCTTGATAATTCAATTTATTTGAAAAACATTTTTAACAAAATAATTATTCTGCATGGAAGTGAAAAAAAAATTAGATGGATAATGTCAAGCATTCAAAATTTTTATTTGGCTATAAATCTGAAATGAAACAAAATATTGATTCAAATAAAACTTCTTCACGATCACTTTTTTAATCATTGTACACAATAAGCATGAATTTGTATGCATTTACTTTATTACTTAATTCCAGTTCTTACAACAAGACTTAACAAACATATCTATTAGAGAGCACTATTTTGATGAGAAAATGAAAAAGCTTTTCTTCTTTGAAGTATCAGAAAGCGAGTCTCTGCGAAGCAAGCCCATTACATTATTTTAGTTTGAAAATCAATGATACGTTAAGAAACTTTTGAATGAGTAAAATTAAGCAGTTTACAGTTCTTAATTCACGTTTTGTTTGCAAAGGTAAATAAAATGCAAAGTCAATATTATGTTTTCTGAAAAAAAAGAAAGAAAAGTAAGCGGATGTTGATTGTATCTCTGACATCTTGAAGTGTATAGTTGGTACCATAGAAATTTTTATCATTGCCCAGTTCAAAGAGGAGAAAATGCCATTCGTATGAATGCTTCATAGAGATACAACTCCCGATAGTGTTTAACTCTTATAATTGTTCCATTTTTCTTTTGATAAATCTCTAATCAAGGGATTAAGATAAATGAGAAAAATGGCTAGTATTCTGAAAACAAATGGAGAGTTTCTGTTTATTTTTCTTTGATATCGTATTTATGAAGAACTGTTTTCATATGACCTCTTTTTATTTACACACTTCATTGAAAGGGATCCATGAAAAATGTTTCCACTTCCACGTTATTCAAAGAGATTATACTCAGCGTGTTTTGTTTATTTCTGCAAAAACACAAAATTGTATATGCATTTTATTTTACACTAGAATTACTTATAAAACATGAATTGTTTCTATAGAAAAATACCTAATTTCATTGATATAAATAAGATCACATTGTAAATAATAAAGTAAAAAATATCAAATATAATTCTTCCTTTAATGAGAAAGATGAAACAAATTTAAATGCATTTCAATTCCATATTACACACATGTCATCTAATAACATTTTTTAAAAACTCCATTTGCATACAACTACTTCTTTCAATAAAACTAATCTAATTTTTTTTTAAAACTCAAAATCAAACATAAAAGCTCTACACTTTCTGCTTTCCATACTTACCTTCTACAACAAAGGAACATTAGTTTGGTAAGTGTAAACCAAAATGCTTAAAAAAGATTGAAATAGGTTATTAAAAAAAGCTAGATTATCTAAATTTGGAAGTTGACATTACCAAATATATGGCATACTGATATGACGATTTCTATGACAAACAACTTTGAACCACTGTTGAGAAACAGGGTCATTGGCACTTCTTCTGGAATGCTTTTCATGTCTGTACCTAAATATCATTTACAAACATAATTCTCTGTTCTTTCTCTACATACATCACAATTAACATAACAGCACCAATGAAATTTGCAATTGCATTGCCAAGTTCTTATGTACTGGTGCGTGTTATAACCTCTGCCACAACATAATAAATCACAGCCATCTATATCTTTGGATGTCCTGTTGCATTCTCTGCCTACAGTCCCTAATGAACCACGAGACAAGTCTTTTTCACAATAATTTGGTGAATTTTCCAAATAAACCAAGTCTCTCGGTCTGGGCTTACGGTGAACACGTTTGGATTTCTTTAGTTTTAAATGAGATGGCGTTCGCGTGACCATAGGTCCCCAGTGAGGGACGACTTTTTTAGATTGTTTGTAAGCTTTCATGAGATAGTCCCCAATCTGAGCGAATGCTGGCAGAGTTTTCCAACAAGTTTTCATAGTGCACGATCCAGAGACACCATGGCATTTGCATTCAGTTTTTAAATTGTGCTTGACAGCCTATTATAAGAAAAAGAAGAGAAAAAACATTAAATCTCATATTTTCACGCTGCTATTAAAAACATTAACTTTTTTTTATTTTATTTAAAAACCAAATTATTTAAATAGATTAAGAAACTTTTGCCATGCAAATAAAATAGAATTTTTTTTAAATATTAACTAGGGATTATAATGATAATCCCAACTATTCTATATGATTAATAATTAGAGTTTCTCTATAATGTGAAATCTGTGATGTAGTGCTTATCCGAATTTGGTTTCGAAAACGATCATTCATACACACTTTAGAGAGTGTAAGTAAGTTTAGACGTCAATAAATAAGAAAGTTTACACCAAGCTCACATACATTTACTCCATTCATGCATTATTTTCGCCAATTTCAACGTACGTACGAAAAGCGTCAAACAACTACGGTAATTTAGTTCCTATCGAGCAAAAGAAAGTGGAAGTTTATTTTCACCTCGCACGATGCTAGCTAAACATTACAAAAAAACAGAAGTAAATTGTTATAAAAGATATGTATAGACTGTCCATGTAAGGAACTCCCCTCGCCTTTCGTTTACAGCAGTGGTGGTGATTATGGTTACGAGATTCAACTATTTTAAAAAGGGATGTTTAGCCAATATTTAAGACAGGTTTTGTCTCGGGTAAGCGAGAGAAAGGGGATAATTCTTCTTCAATTTATTGTTAAGTTCAGCTCTTTAAAATGCGCTTTTTTACGTTTCCATAACAGCAGACCGCCTTACACCTTGTGGCGAGAGAAGTTTTTTTTATTTTATAGACAGACTATATGTTCTTATTTATATCATAAAGACAATAATGCTGTTTTCATAAGGAGATTTACATAAATCCATCAATTGTGTTAAATAGTTTTATAATATCGCTTCAATTTTGCTAAGTCTAGTTCGAATTTGTGTTAATATTTTCTCTGTGCTGTGTGTATGTTTGATTAACAAACTAATTTTATACTGACTTTTATGCCTGTTATACTTTACTGTAAGAATAAATATTTGTGTTACTGAATATCAAAAATGGTGGTGGCTGCTTTACACCAAGTAGTGTACAAGAACATTCTTGGTATTTTACTACACCAGGAAGTATCCTTCGATCCTGGTGTAGTGTCACCACTTCGGTATTAATAGTTACCACCATTTTTAGTATTGAGATAAAAAATTTTCTTGCAGTGTATCTTCAGAGATTCACGACAAATAGCTTTTAAAATTGACAAGATCAGGCATGCGAAAGAGAATGATTACGGAATCTGTTACCATACTTGGCTAAGTTTCCCTCAAAATCTCTCTTCCTTATACTAATTGCTTGCTTCACATCGAAATCATGTTAGCTGTACTCAGTTATATTTCGTTTAGCTTTTTAATCGGCCAAAGAGCATGTAACTACATTGTTAAACATTTTGGTGTATTGTTGTCACCTATTTTGGTGTTAAGGTGAACTAAATACATTTTTAAGAACTGTAGTAATCGTGCAAAAAGTATATAATTGGCAAAATAACAATTGCGAGAAAGAATCAGAGCGAATATATTACTAAAAATGTACTTGTTTTTTAACAAAATGTTTTTGCAATAAAGCCATTGAATTGATTCTAATACATGCAAAAATATGTATTGTCAATAAACAAAAAGAAAAATGAATTAATAAATAAATAAAACTATAACAGTGAAAAAGTAAATAAGAAATGTTCTTACATGCACTGTAAAAACTTTAGTTTACTTCAATATCAAAAATGGTGGCAATTAGATACAAAAGGTGCTAAGTGGTATGTAGTGTATGCGTATGCGTAGTGGTAAAGTATGCTAAAGTGGCGAAATTTATTGATTAGCTTATTCAGATCTTTAAATGTAAGGACAGAACACCACTTTCAGTTTGTTCGACAGAAAATAATGTAGTCAGAAAATAAATGTTTTCTCAAAACATAAGTTTTTGTGATATTTAATTAATAACTTGATTAAAGTGCCAAGTATAGCAATCATAGTTTTTGAAAGCTAATTATTTCACAAAATATCGATATATTTAACATTAGTTTGCATATAACAGGTAATTTGAATAGTTAATGGAAATTTAAAAGCAAGAAAAGGAATACATGTCTATAATTCAGAGAATTCACCGGATAAATTTGCCTCGTAGATGCACTGCATGTTAACTCTTCGGGAAAGTTATTGTTTTGTTCATTTAGATAAATTTTGGTGCTCAACTAATCACAGACAGTTTACCCGTTTTGCTTGTGATTCGAATATAATAAACAAAATTTCTGTTTGAAATTTTTCGTTTCTCACAAAAGTTTTTTCTCGTTTTTTTGAACGTGTCTTTTCTGAATATATTTCAATAGATTGATAAAGTTTTCAAGTTTTAGAAAATTTATGATAAGTATTGCTGATCTTCAACTTTTCGTTATTCATCTCAGGGTTACTGTATTTAAAGCTATAACTACAAGCTACTAAAACAAGCATATAATATCATCAATGAGTTTTGTCGATCGGATTCAAACTTTTCCAGCTACGGAACAAATGTCTCAAACATGCTAATTTCTCCTTGAAAAGTTAAACGCATCAAATATCATAATTCAACTGCTATAGTTTGTACTACAATGTTATAAAAATTTTGGTAATATTTTTTCTTCTCTTTTTCGAATCACTATTTGCAGTTTCAAGTATTAGACAGAATCTAGTTTTGATTTAGACTCTAATTATATTTCGAAATTACTTGAATAAATAGCAAAATTTTAACGCACTTTTTTTATAAACGCATGCAAAAAGCATGACGAATAAATTTAGTTGCATTAGTTTATATAAAATATTGTAAAATATTTATTTTTGTATTGAAAGTAATTTTGTGAAATATGAATAAGGCTTAAATCTTCTTGAAATATTTGCAAATGCGTTATCCTTAAAGTTCAAAGAGTAAAGGACGATTTATTATTTTAATAGCATAGTTCTACCCTATGAACTCGGTGGACACCCACAAGGATTCGTGTCGTCACTTAAAATTCTTTAATCGTTATAAGTATGAAAGGCAAATATGACCTTTGAACAGATTGTTGTACCGACGCGTCATTGGTTTCAATGAAAAAATAACGTTTCTTTTATGCTTTCGAAGAATACAATTAATTTAAAAGTTATATACAGGTAGACTACACCTTAAAGAAAAAGAAGTATGAATTTTGATCAGTAGCGGTCTGATTAGCACAAAGGGTTTCTTGGGATTCAACATTTCATATTTTACTTTTATCTTTACTATTATTCTTGAGTTTTATCTATTCTATTAGTCTTGAATGTGAAAATACACATTTAAATGTAAAGTGCATAGTGCGAGCTTCAAAAACTGTCACTACCTCAGATGTTTTTCAAACATCTTGTACTTAAAGTTTTTATTTTTTTTAAAAATTTAAATACATAGTCTTTATCATTGCAACAGACAAAGTTCATGAAAGAATGATTACAAATCTTAATAAGTTATTTCTTTTTGCTGTACCTGTATACCTATTATAAAATGAAAACTTTTGAGTTAAAAATTAATTTTTCAAATTACTAAAAGAAGAGGACTAAATATTGTTTGTAATTGTTGATAAAAAATAAAGATTTATTTTAATTTTTATTTATCAAAGGAAGCTGATTGTAAGGAACGGATGATTGATTATATTTTTTCTTTTCGAAATTTGAGCACTTTTTCGAAATAATTAATCGAAGTTTTCGATTATACTCTAAGAAGCACAACCTTTGATCAATAGTGTTCTTTTTTAAACGAAGGCTTGCGTGAGAATAACATTTTTACATTTTAGTTATTACTTTTATCTTATAACAGTTAGTCTAGGCTTTTTTTATAAGTCTTAAATGTAAAAAAAAAAGGCAAAATATAAAATGCATCCTGGGAGAGAGGACTTTGGAAAACTATTCTCATATCAAATATTTTTCTAACAGCCTAAACTTTTATAGGTTTGTTTATTTAAATATACGGTAATGAATCATAAACATAATGAAATCAAACATAAAGCATAAAAAAAATTCAAAAATTAAACAATTAATCCAATTTTAATAGAAACAGTTTTGGCATTGTTAAATAGCATATTCTAGTGGTTGTTCCCTAAATTTATTTTATATAATACGCATAGAATATAGTTTTACACAAAAAATGCATTTTTTAAAAAAACTTTAGTCGAATGTAAACAAATCCATGGTTTTGATATCTTCATGTAACCGTCACTCGTTAAATTCATAAACAGTTAAGTTTTAGACTTGTTTCCGTTGTCAAAACTAATTAATTTATGTTAATTTTTTAGATTATTTCTCAAAAAAAACTGGCATTTCTTTCAATTTTGAGCGCTAATCCCTGGATTATATCATTTGTGAGAAATATATCTTATTGTTTTCATTTTATAAACTGGAAAAAAAAGTTATTAATCTTTGCTTACAAAGTTTTTGACTTATTGGTAAAAAATTGAGAACTTTCTGTTAATTCAGAACAGCCAAATGTATCATAATCATCAGTATACTGATGCAAGTATTTTTTTTTCAATGCAGCATAATTTTATATTTATCTGTTAATCTGTTTCTTTAATGCAATAGAATGAAACAGAATAAAATTATACATTTAATAAATTACAAAATTAATGTTTCATGTAGGAAGAGTTTAAAAATATAAAAACATCTCTATGTTATTTTAATCAGGATAGTATGCTTACTAATGTTTAGAAATTGAAAAAATTGTTTTTAAGTGGAAAATGGGATTAGTGTTGAAAAGGAAGCTGTATAGATAAATTATCTTAAATTTTAAATATTATCTTAACTAGCTTATTTCCCCCACGAATGGCAGCATCAAACAGGTTTTGCAACACATTTTTCCACAAAAGCTTTGCAATAAATTTTCTTTCAAATTTTCAAATATATCATACATTGCGTGAACTTTTTTTAAAAAAAATTATATAATGCATTAGTATTTAATATTAAAAAATCTATTTTTTATTCTTAGAATCATTTGTGGTATAAAATGGCGTATGAAAGAACACTTAATTCTTTAGAACCACTGAAGAATAAAGAGGTATTTTTTCAAACTGTTTAATGCTTTTCACACGTATTGTTAAACGCTTTTCATTTTGTTGAAGAAACATAAATTTTTCCAGCCTTTGTTATTTTGTCGCATGAATTTTCGTTTTTATATAAAAAGGAAAAGTTCGAACAAGGGCAATAAAAAGAAAAGGATTAATCATTAATCTGGTAAAAAACATGTACAATTATTCAAAATTAATATATATGTTTTTTATTAATGTGATCCATTAGTATATTAAACTGAACAATCTTTTTGGTAAATCACGCTGATATGTTTGTCTTAAATATTCCATCAAATTAGTCATATTGACTTAAACAAAAATATTATTTTTTTTTGTTATGAAATATTTTGAAAAATCCTTTGCAGCATAATGAGCCAATTTTTATAGCTCCGAGAAAAAATGATCTACAACTGCCTAAAAGATATTATGCTAAAAATGAAAGTAGCGGAAGAAATGAATAAGCATCGTCTTTACACAGTGAGTTTTCAAAAATTTACAAATGCAAAACATATGCTTAACAATATTTTATTTTTACTCGGTTTTATACAAATTAATTTTCATAATGATTATAATTCTCATGAAAACGACGCATTAAAAGAGTATTATCCTATATACCAAATACAATCAACGGCAATCACAGAAATATTTCAATTGGTCGCGAAAAGATTTATAAAGAAGATTATTATTTTTTTCGAGAAAAAGACTATTATTTTTTTCTTCCAAAAATTCGATGTTTTGAAAAGATTGAATTATAATTTGAATGGATCACAGAAAATAAAATAAAAAATTCTTTCTTTGAATTCTTTACTGTATGTCTTGAAGTGAACAATTTTTTATTTATTTATACAAACAAATAGGTAAGGCGTGAACTAAATTTATAATTTTTTTTATCAGTAAGAGTTTCTATGTAAAGTTTAGAATGCGGAAGTGAGAGGTTTCTTGCAACAAAAGAAACAGGCTTCGAATTATATGTTGTTTATTTGAATATACTGACATTTTTCTACCATTCAACTTTCTTTTATATGCAAAACCTATTGAATTAAGCATGGCAAGTAATGCATGGATACACTTTTAGAATCATTTAATATTTTAAAGAAATTCAGAGGTACTATAATTGTTAAAAATATTTACGAATCAGTAATAAATTAAAATTGTGCAAATTATTGATAACACTTATAATGAAAATTTATGACACACCCACAAAAATTTTTACTATTATATTTTTTAGAACTAACTACAGCAAAATATATGCATATGACGATAATCATACTATTCAAAAATTTATAACCTTAAGTATCAGCCTTAACGATACATTCACGAGCATATTTACAAATCTATCTAAGAATTTATTCTATTAATGAAAGTTCCACAGTGGACTGATACTAAGGACACCCGTGTTAACAAGGTTTTTCGGAGCTCTTTCACCAAGGAAAATAAAAAAGCCAGTTTAAGTGCCTTATTGTACTTGAAGCAAAGCTATAATTTTAAACTGTATATGCCACCTTGCTGTAAAGAATTATTTGGGCTTTAGAACGGAAAAACAAGTAAAATATTTTAAAAGTTATTAAACTTTTTTAAAAATCGCCAATTTGGCGACATTTTCCATCTATACGAAAATTATCAAAATCAATGCCTTATTCCTATTTTTTGCAAATTTTTATGAGCCCAGATAATTTAGTAATGGCGTAAGTTTTTAAATGTTAGAAAATTAGACCACAAACGCTTTTCATTTTCTCAAAACTGTGGCTTTTCTTCATATTGACGTTCTGCGCCATTTTCAGAATAAACATAGAGGACGCTGGTTAAAGATAGGCAAAACTTGACCTAATGGTCATGAGTAACTGTTGTAAACTCACATGAGTTATAAAAATAGAGTATTAATCTCAAAAAAGCATCATTAGTCTACAGAGTCTTCGAAAAGCAACATTAAGCATTACTGGCAGCTGTCAGTGAGTGGCTGGGTGAGCACTTTGATCAGCCTGGAAGGTATCAAGGGCGCACGGTATTGGTCCTCGCTAAACTGTTCTACAGTTAAATGTTGGGTTTCCCGCACAGGCTGTCAGGCTACCAAAATGGAGGATCAATCCCCTCTGCAGAGGATCAAAATTGTGATGGTATATCTTCAGATAACCCTCGGCGATAGTTCCCGGAGCATCGACAATTGCTCATTGTGCAGTTCTAGTGCGACGTAAATGAAATACTCGCAAATACTCATAGTGCGACGCATTACTCTCGAATAGTATGTCCTGATGTGTTCTGCATCTTACCCATTTGCACAAAACTTTGACGAATTGTTTTACAAGCGCTATTAATCCAAAATCGTTCTCGCAGTTTGGACATAAATATCTGTACTCCAGCTTGGCACATTGTTAGATGCATACTGCAAATATTCAATTCTGCTAGCTTATGGTTGCTTGGAAGTAGTATAGAGTTGGATGTTTCGCGATCTTTTCTCTTAGTTAACTTTGTGTGAACTCTGAAAGCACCTTCATCGTCTTGAGAAACACTTGAAGATTTTAAATTACTTAGATCTGCAACATTGAAGGATCTTTTTTGAATTTGTCAAAAAAAGTTTCGGCATTGTTTAGTTTATAGATTTTCAATTCTCTAACTTCTCTATCTGAAACAGATTTTTGAGTGCCTCTTTAAAATCTTAACATCCTAACTGTCATTCTTAAAATTTTAGAGAAACTCGAAAAGTAAGAAAGCATTTATAAGTCTTCGTTACTTTCACAAATCAAAGTTACTACAATTTTCTTTCTCTCGAATATTTTTTTGTGTCTTTAATCGGAAAGGATTTAGGACACTCTTTATTAGATTTATAAAACCGAAACTGCCCTTCCCTCCAATAGGTCTCTAATAACTTTGAGACGGTTCAATCTCTTGAAGGTAAGTCAGCCGGGTTGAAGGTTCTGGGAACGTGACGCAAACTTTCAATGCCACTAAGTTCTTATCTTTTGCATACTCTGTTATTTAAAAACGTACCCAAAAATTCATCTTTATGTTAAATTTAGAAAGGGGCAGTTGTTGAATCTGATCCGTAATATTCTTCAAGATTGTCTATTTTTTCAACTTTTCTTTTGTGTTTACTCAGTATTTTGTTTGTTTTTGTTGCGAAACAAAATTTATAATCTCTTATAAATCCAGAATTGTAAGCGGTAGTCTTCTTAAATTTGAAAATTGATTACAAGGAGAAATTTCAGTCACCCATCCAAAAGCTCGGTTAAAATTTTTAATTATTCCGTCCGGGAGAATTGATTGAAAAATAATTTTTTTGCATTAGTTTAACAATAGTCATAGTCATAAATGAAATTGTAAACAATTCTGTTTATGATTTAATCGCATGCTCTTTAGTGTTTAATTATTTTAAAATAGTCTACTAATCAACATAAATAGCACGCGGATCGGTGTTACGTCACCGTATTAGCCATTTTCTAATATTTGTATTAATATAAAGAAATGAGCTGTGACTTTATAATGTTGTTAAATTATGGCAACATTAAGTTAATATAGCTTGTTCAGCCCAAATTTAGCATTGAGTAAACGGTTTTTAATTACCTAATTACAAAAACAACAGAGATCATAGAAACATACTTAGTTATATGTAATAGAACTAAGTAAAATAAAGTAGAATAATAGAAAAAATATAATAGAACTAAGAAAAATAAAGGAAAATGTTCATAAATTTATCAAAAGTGGTAATTATAAAAACAAACAAACGTGATTTTAAATTATGAAAGATAATCTCAAATACAAATAACGTCATGCTGATGCTAACAATTGACAGTGATTTGTAACAGCATGGTAATTTTTCAGTCAGTTATTTTATGACTAAAGTTTATTCGATTGCGTTTCCAGAATTCAACGTAAAAATTGTAAATTGATCAAAGATCTTTTTGAAAAGAGCCTAACTCACTTAAAACCTAAGTCAAATTTAAGCCACCATAGCAACGCATCTTGTAAGATATTTTCATGAATTTGCTAGCCTCTTTTTTTGGTACATCAGCATAGCAACGGCTGAGTACTCCACAAGTAAGAAAAATTCGAATCCCAACTTTTCCGACAAAGTTCGTATTTTTACTTCAAGTTTAATTGCAAATATCTTAAATTATGGATGGAATTAACATTGTTAGGCTATCATAGTTTTTCTCTCTTGGCAATTATCGTACTAATGAGGATTATAATGCGAAAATTGCAGGATTGTTAGATTCGCTAATGTTGTAAATTTAGGTTGATGAACGTAAAAATTCCCTATACTAAGACATAGAAATACACTATCTACCAATAAGTATTCGGACACCTATGCAAATGACTATATCAGTGGTCCTGAGATACGTCACGCCCTCCGGTATATATCTTGTAGGAAACAACATAGGCATTAGTCCCATGCCTACTACACTATTTTGGATAACAATGCGCTTCCTACGTTTTGGCATGGGGTGGACCCCTGTTACTTCCAGGACGACAATGCCAGCTGTCATTTTGCGAGGGTCACCAAGGCTTGATATGGTGCCAATGGGGTTAATCGAATGGACTGGCCTGCCCAGAGCCCAGACCTGAACCCTATCGAGAACCTCTGGGACAAGTTGGATTGCCGAATTAAGGGGTGTACTACCCGTCAAAAATCGGTGAAGGAACTTACATGTCTTCTCCAAGCCGAGTGGAAGAAAATACCACTAGCCGTCACACAAGGACTTGTGGAAATTATGCCCCGGAGGGTTCACGCTGTAATTGCCTCTCGTGGAGGCTCTACCAACTATTGATTATGAATAAAGTTTGTTTTTCTTTTCAATCACACGCGTCCAAATATTTGTTGGTAGATAGTGTAGTTGCACATTTCTGAATGAAAATCTACAAAAATTGACAAACCTTTCTGCCAGCATGGTTGTTGTGTAAGTTCATGAGAGACCTTGCATCTCCTTCCATTTCTCTAGCGTCGATAAACTTTCTAGAAAGACGGATACCGTATTTCACATCGACGCTGCATCCTCCCCATTTCCAATCTGTTGGATGATTCAAAGGCTTCACACTGCTCTGGCTTTTGTCGCAACCGCAATCGCTTACGTTCCCTCTACTACATGACTGAGTGATTACGAATGTAACACCAGCAGAGGTTACACTGTACATATACGCAGCTTCACGGCTACCTGAAATAATAGAAACGACATTTAGAAGAACTAATTTTCAGATATCTAATTGCATTAAAGTAAAAATTTATTTGTACATTCTCAGAAAAAAATTTGTACAACGACGAACCATAATATTGTTACCATGATCTGTAATTATCGTGTGCAAACTTAATAAGCTGTTTCTTACCATGTTTTTGATGTTCAAGTTGAACCATATTGTTAAGTAATCAAGTTTGAAGCTAATTTGAACAATATGGTTCAATACGCTCCAAAACAGTCAGATTGTATCAATTTGTAACTAATTCCAAGCATATATTAACCATTAGTTATTTAACAGTGTAAATTTTGCGTTCGAGTAACAGTTTAGAAGGTAACATTTCCAAAATAACCTCATATGACTCGTATAAAATTTTTAGGTATTATAAAAGATTTAGGTTTCATTCAGGGTTTGATCATAAAAATGCTCTTGCAAAAATTACCGATTTTAAACAAGGGGCTCTGAAACCTCGGAAACACAAGACTGAAATATTGAAAACGTTTTTTATATACATAACTGGCAGGAAAGATTACATTTTGAGTTTTTGCAAATAATAATTTTTATTATTAAAAAGATTTTCTAATGTAATTCAGTAGCTCATTTTTTCAAAATGCATATTTTAATGAATTTATTGATGTTTTAAAATTCTTTTTTCCAATTGAAATTAATCCAAAATTAATTCTAAACTACTTCATTCCTTTGTTTTTCTTATAGCATAACAATGAAAATAAATTAGCTAACTATGTATACCAAAGTTAAGAACTACTAAGTAGCAATAAGTATTTCCAAGCCTCAATTTATCAACTTAAAATTACTACTATAAACTTATAAACATTCTGTTTTCATTGAAATGTAAAATTAACTTACTTTTCACCTTAAGTTTGTTTGCTATGTTTATTTGTTATTCGAAATTATTAACTTTCAATTATTTCATGAAGTGATAATAAATAATTGTAACTTTGTATGAAATTATATAAAAAAAAATTACGTTTTTAAATGCGATATATCTTATTATTCAGAAGTAAGGTCTGAAGTACACTATATTCTAATTATTTAAAATAATTAACTTTTCATTCCTCGAAAAAATGATAGTAAAATAAATTAACATATTAATCTATAGATCAGATTCGAGGAAATTATCATTAACTTAAATCACCATTTTATGCTGATGACTTTTATAATCAGCATTAAATAACAAACATTAAATTGCAAGCGCTATTTGAATTCCTCTCGAAATTAATTTAAGCATTAATTTATTCCTTTATTGCTCAATAAACAGCTTGTAAGAAAAATGAAAAACCGCTTCTCTTTTCATTTATTATTTTCATAACGCCACAGGCAGATTTTTTTTGAGATATAATTCACACTCAAAATTTACTTAGAAAAATAAATATTCTCCACCGTTTTGACGCCTGCGCACCGATTTTGGCACATTTTTCTTTCTCACTTAATATTCTTTCTTTTCACGCCTCTTACCTGTTATTGAGTAGCGTGTCTAAGATTAAAGAGGGAATTTGCCGGTCTTCAAATATTAGTTATGTACATGAAAAATGGAACCAACTAAAAATCTTAATATCCTTTGATATTTTAATAGGACATTAGGCTTACGAAAATAAATGTTGATCCAAATAAAGATAATAATATAAATTTAAAAAATACATTTAACATATATGTGTTATCTCGTCACCACTTACGATAATGGTTCTTTAATACGACACTGTTATTAATTCTGGTATTTTTTTCACAACGAAAATTTATAATGGGATCTTTGGAAAATTTTTCCAATTAATTTGAAATCCAATTCAATAAATTGCTTCATAAAACTAAAAGAAAATAAAAACAATATTTGTTTTCACAAGTATTTCAAGAAAATCTAGGACATTTAAAGTTGCTAAATTTCAGCGATTATTAGATATCACGATATATTAGATTATTAGATATCACGAACGATTTCTCCGTAGTTTTTTTCAGCGATGGAAGTATTTTAAATTGGCATTATTAAAATTCTAAGTTTAACTTTCACTTGATTCAAAGTGATCTCCTTTGCGTCAGAATACTTTCAAACCTTAGATGACCTCTTTTATTTTGGCAGATCAAATAGGTGAAAACCCTCTTCCTTAACTTTTAGGTGACTCTAAGCTCAACTGCGTGCAAAAGAACTTTTAAGGCAATGACTTTGGTCATTTTCATAATTATTTTTCCTTGTTACTTTCACATTCTATCTTTTGTAATTTTGTATAGCGTGTTTTGACCTTTCCATTCGAAATATAAAAAAAAAGTTATAGAGAAGAAAAATTTAATAATCTGATACGTGTTTTGTTTAAGTTTTATAACTCAAAAACATTTTGAAAGATTTTGTTCAAATTTTGGATTTTTTTTCTCTACATTAAAAAATCAAAGGGTGGCCGATACCACTTTTGCTTTGGATGTTCAATTCAACATATATTTTGTTAAGCTATAAAAAAAACTATGATACTTAAAAATTTAAAATTTCGATGGTTCGTAGAAAAATGTACAGGGAATAGCAAAATATAATATTCGATAATGAGTTCGAGAATTATTAAGTGTTGAACTTATAGAAAGCATACCATACAGGAAAAGAATGCACCTACAGAGTGGAAATTTGTTATGGGGCCATGCTTACTTAAGAACTTAATATAGAGTATTTTTTGAAATTTCAATTTGTTCATAAGTTATTGCAATTTTAAGCGCTTTCTTTACGAATTTTTTTTCACTGTTTTTTCCCCCGCTCTTCATTACATTTTGCTTCACTGCACACGAAATCTATAACACTTAGAAACCTGAAATTACGATGGTATGTAGGAAACAGAGCATGGAGTGTGATAAAGTAAAAAAAATAAGATTTGACTATTAGGTCAAAAATTATTATCTGATAAACTTGTACAGAAAAAATACCATGTCTGATTGATTTGTAGTCAGTTGAAATTCAACTACGGAATTAAAATTTGACGGGTGGAAGAGCTATTTTAAACGTGAGTTTTTTTCGTAATTCTAATTTGTTCGAAAGTCATTGTAAATATAAGAGCCCTTTCGTGATTTTTTCAGCTATTTTGTATTAAATATTGACTTTTTCCATTGTTGTAAAAAATTTATTTTTCCCTCACGAGATCTTTACTTCTTTATTTTATAAGCTCGCACTCGAGTATATGTTAATCAAAGAAGACTTGGAGAGAGAGAGAGGGACAAAGAGAGAGGAATAAAGAGACGGAGAGATTACCTTGTCACACATATCTCATCTTAACTATTCTGAAAGCTTTAAAAACGAAAAAAAAACTTAAGCCATAATAAGCGTTCCCTATTTGAATTGTTTTAAGTCTCGTTGAAGAATAAAATTACTTCTCGTTTATTTCTTCATATTGGGACCCACAGTCTGTATTTCCTGGGTTAATTTTTCTTTCAAGTACAGAAGATCATTTTTCAAATCAAAATAATATGCTATTTTGTTACGATTAGCGTTAAAAGAAGAATTACGATTATTAATGAAATGTTTTTACATGAAGTTACAGTAATTGTATCATTAGAAAATAAAATGCTCTGTATTATTGAGGAAAATATGGACGCTTAGGGAAAAAAACACTGATGAATGAGAAGCGATTCAAGGGGTTGGTGGAAGCGACCAGACCATGGAGACTCCTTATTATTGAAAATTACTTAATTTAAAATACCGTGAAATTTTTTGTACCTTACAATTCAAACTTTTTTCGACTATTATTAAATGAAATTTAAAAAAATATTTGCCGATTATTTTTTTTGCATCGTATTATTTTGAATAAACTAGTCTTATAATTGTATGCAATAAGTTATTGATTCATTTAAGTTCTGAAGATATGACGAAATATCTAAAAAAAAAAAAAAGTTAGAAATAAGGGGCTAAAATTTCCGAACACTAACTAGATTAAACTATTGATACCATATTTTCTAGATTGCGCCTGTCTTCCGTATTTTGATGGTTACGAATCCAAATTCGATGAAGAAATATTATGTTTATTCACAAAAAGTACGTTCTAGTGTCTGATTTCGTAACTTAATATAAACTTTAACACAATTATCATGTTTGAGGTCAACATTTGAACTATAAGTCTAATTTTACCATCTACTTTCTTCTTTCTTGGTAATCAATTTTGGTAATCAATCAAAGATTCAATTTAAGGCATTATTCACGAATTCTGATTAATTTTTAATAATTGCAGAAAAGTTAATAAGTTAAGGTGTCGATGCTTATCATAAAATACAGTTTAATAAGGTATTTTTAAAGGATTCATTTTTAATAAAGAAACATTGCTTTAAGTTTTAAGCTTTTAATTTAGAATGATAATCAAAATAAATTTTAAAAAATAGTAAAAAAGGCTGATAAATAAAATTTTCAGGTAAATGCCTTTAAGCAGCTTGAGAGTCAGTTTTAAGCTCTTAGCTTCATAAAAATGCACTTATAGCTCTAATAGAATTATATCATGGAATATTACTTAAAATTAGGAATAGAAAAATATTCTAATGATAAACAACACTTTTATAAATTTTATAATTTTTTTACTGAAGACAAAAAAAAAGAAAGAAAAAAGATTTTCATGTGGGAAAACCAGATCACATAATTTAAATTTATATTCTAACGAAGATGTTAGCACTTGACATCATTATCCGATTTTGTTCATGATATATCATTAATAACTAATGTTAATTTAAAAAAATTCTTTTTAAGCTTCTTTAAAAGCTTTAGCATATTAAAGAATTTTTTTTCCATATTTATACAATATTTATATTTGTTATATTTGTTTTTTTTTTAATATTTTATTAAAAAAGATTGTGAAGTGGATTTTAATTTAATGATTTTTTAGTAAGAGTGCGCAAAGTCAATTCCTAGGAATTCTTTTCAATAACTTGAATGTTTTATAATATAAGTAAATCAGTTATCTTATAATAATTGTAAAAGGGTTAATAAGCTCAGATGCCAATTTCACAATGC